TTTCAAATGTGCCGCAGGATTTCTAGAATAGCGGAAGAACTTTTCATTTGTTAGGAAGAAGATAACTTAGCCAGTGGTCCCCCCACACAGTGCTTTGTAAAAATGCGGGATTTAAGTTGTAAGAAGAGAATGATGTTTGTTTTTAGTTTTAAATACTAGAAATTAACAAAAATGAGTTCCTTTGCGACGTTTTCCATTGTTCATTTAAACAGCAGAAAGTTGTATTTTCCTTTATAAAAAAAAAAACTGTTGTAAAAGTGGGAGGCTAATAATTATAAACATACCATTTTTCTATCTTTAATAATAGCATTTTTAGGATGACGTGGAAATATCTCTTCACGTAATATGTCGTACTCGTTATATTAAACTTTTACTGTGTTTGATTCTTTTAATAAATAAGAATAAAACAAAGCCTCTTTATTTTCAACAAAATATTTTTGAAAGTAAATCATTTCATTCGGAATAAATCTCGGGTGGCTCGCAATCTGTGTAACAGATATTATTTTATTGGCGAACTACATAAGTATTGCGTGACTTAGAACACTAGCTCAGAGATGTTCTCTCATATTTCCCCTTTGTTACACTTCATTATTGAACACTCGGGGATTTCTATTAATAATATATATGCCGCACTGCACACTTCATCCCCTTCTTTTTCTGCGAATCTTTTCATTACATTATACTTTTTTAATTTCTGAAATATTTCCTTGGAAACGCAATACGTTAGCAATAGAGATATTTATGGTATATACTTGATTGCTGTTCCCCCTTCTTTGTTATTTGGAATATTCTTTTCCCTACAGTGATTTGCTAAAAATGTAAAGGGAGAATTTTTTTTTCTTACATTTATAATTTTTTCGCAAAANAAAAAAAAAAAAAAAAAAAAAGATCGACAAAGTTAAAATAAATAAATTTCTTAATTAATATCTTTTGAAAATTTCAGATTAGAAGTAAATTAAAATTGCTAAAACTCTTAAAAATTAAACTTTTTAATTGATTATTTAATTAAAAAATATTCTTTATCTTCCACGAAAAAAGCTCATGAATTTGGGACATTTTTTCTTTCTTTTTGAAAAACGATAGCTTTAAATTGAAATCATGAAAACGATTTAACACTCCTTTACTTGCGAAATCGTTTGCTGCTCCGTTGGATCATCAGGAAAAACTCTGAGAATTTCTTTTCAACAAATTTAGTATAAATCCTGATGTGAAAAGATTAAATAAAATATAAATTAAAATTTTAACAATCTGCAGAATTTACAGTTTATTGCTGAAAAATATATTAAAATCCGCCATTTTATAAATTACTTATATCAATAATATTTTCGAATTTGAAATAGAATTTTTCGTTTTATCATTTGTGAAGTAATTCACGACTAGCTCAAATCAGGAACTTGAAGAAAGTTCGTTTATATTGCATAATTCGTATAATTATATTGCATATACGTATTATTATATCGCATATATATTAGTATTATATTAATTCGTATATTATATTGCATGATTCTCTAGCCTAATTCATATTTCCACAAAAACAAGAACCATTATCGATTTAATCATATAATCGAATCATCACCCATAAGTATGAACCTCTGTCCCGCTATATTAACTGTTCCGATGGTAGAAAAACTTTCCACTCAAACTTGAAGCAATGTTTTATTTACCGTTGAAAATGTTTTTTTTATTTTTTATTTCTGATTGTTCTATTTTAAAATATCCATTGTTTCTCTCCTGATCAGCGTATTCTCCCAGAGTGTACGCGTAAATCCTGCACTTTTCGATTGATAGATAAGTGACTATATAGACAGGTGAGGGTGGGAGGGAGGAAGTGTGGGTACCGCGTGTGTGGATGTAGTAACCATGACAACGGAGAACGCGCTGCGGGATGGGGGCGGTTTATTTGTTGACTCCAAAATGCGGAACTCTTTGAAAGCCACATGCTTGTTTAGGAGTCTACTGATCGTATGGAATTCTGTGGATTATGTGTAAGGGATCGAGTGAAATTGTGGGAATGGGAATTTCTCAAAAGACAGCAGCAGGTTATTTGAATTGTCATTTAATATATTTTAAAGTATTCAAACATATTTTTGCAATGTACAGGATAATTTAAAAATTATCTTTGCTAACATTAAAAATTATGAGTGTTAATAATTGACACTTTGTAACATGTAAAACTCTATAAGGTCAACTAAAAAAAAAAATTTTTTTTCCACCAGTAAATTTTTTAAACGTTAGTTTCATTTACGGAATTTTTTGTACAGTATAAACACTTTATTAGTTATTTCGGTAACTTTATTCACTGAGATTTACATAAAAATACATTTAAAAAGCCAAGTTGGTATTGTTGAAATCTCTTAAATTTAAAAAAAAAATTCAAAATTCATTGATGTAATTTGGAAATATTTTTGCACAGAATTTATTTACATATATCGCCGGTTCAAAATTAAAACACGACACATCTGCAAACGTATTATGCTTGCAGATGTGTCGTTTTAGTTTTGAACCAGCGATATGTTCTGAAGATCGTAATGTTATAATTGCTATACAACAATTATTAATGAAGGCTTTAGCTAGAGAATAAATAGAAGGAGTAGTCATAGAGTGTAAATTTGTAGTAGTTCTGTGTAAAATTATTTGTTGTTTTATTCCCATTTGATTTTGTATTTATTTAAATGCAAATGCTTCTAAATTTCATTGAATATTCATGACAATTGAAGTATTTTATTGTCATTTAAATACATTAACTGTTTTCAAATTTAAACGCTGATAAAAATTTGAAATAATTTTTTTAAAAAATCTTTCTGGTTTAAATTAATTTATTCATCGTTTAATATCGAATTGTCATATCACCCGGGTGTTAAGCTTGAATAAAACGATTAATTTGTAATAATTAATTTATACTAATAACATAACAATTTTAGTTAAAAGTATTAGCACCTTAGTTCTAGTTTGACTCATAAATGTAAAAAAAAAAAAAAAAAATTATGATAATAATGATAATAATAAAATAATAATCTAGAAAATCTGATTTAAAGCAAAAAATCACAATTTTTACTAAAAAATGATGATAAAGTTATTTCATTAATCCGCTCTTCGTTAAGTAGTCAATACATTTGGAACAATTGAGCGCTGTAAGGGGTATCCCCCAAAATTTGGACTACATTTGCCTAGTTAATAATATTTGAAGAAAAAAGAAAACCCATCTCGTGAGTCGATACTAAAAATGACAACTTTATTAGGCTATTTGAATGGGATTGACAACCTCATTTGAAGAATGACAAATTTATATCAATGCAACAGGGCATTTAATAGCTTCATTCGACACCAAAATCATGTCGTATAAAAAATCGCGATCGAAAATTTTATCATAGAAATGTGACATTTGTTAATGAGATTAATAGACATTGCGATGTAGCAACAAAAAAAAGTTTATACTAGTTTAATATTAGAATAAAACTTATGAACTTCCAAAAAGCAGAGTATAATTTATAGAGTTCGTCACATCTCCAATCGGGGTTTACGACTACTAATGTGCAACTACGTAACCTTGTAATTTTGAATCCAATCCAGAATACAAGGGAACTCCTGAATCAAGTATTGGGATAAATTTGCCTTTAAGGAGGAATTTTTGATGGAACTTACCTGCATTTGCATTACGTGGAGAGGAAGATCACGGCAAACCTCCCACGATTAGCCTGACGGCAGGGGGACTCTAGCCCATGATCCGTCTCACACTGAGGATATTTCAAGTCAGCACTGTGGTCTGTGCAAGCCGGATGCGGAATTCGTATCGGCCAGCCATTGTTGGGATTTGAACCCAGTCCACCTCATTGGAAGGCGAACATTCTATCCCCTGAGCCATTGCGGCTCAACATGATTAGTTTAAATTTGTGTGTCCACATAGTGTCGGAAACGCTAAAACGTGTGATTTGAGAAAATGGGGGGGGGGGACAAAAAAATAAAATAAATAATTGCCCAGGTTCTAACTTGCCTGTGAAGTAAATGCAGCCTGTGCACAGTGATGACCACATTCCCTCAATCATACCATTGGTTACAAAATTTTGGAGCCTTAACCTCCAAGATCCCCTGGCCTGCTGCATAAATGTTTTTTATTTGCAAATGATTGGAAAAGAACACTGATTTAGGTATTAGGTTTAGTATAAATTAACCTAGTGTTTGAGAGGAATGAAACAAATTAAAGATATATTTGGTTTTGTTAATATTCCTTCTTTTTTCTCTTTCCTCGTTTATAAATTTCCATAATTTTAAGTATCCACTTTGAATTATTAAGATTGGAATTTAGTTCTTTCAAATAAGTGGATAGATTTTTTTTTACTTTACTCTTTCGTTATGTTTTTTTTTTTTTTTTTTTTTTTTTTTTTTTTTTTTTTTTTTTTTTTTTTTTNTTTTTTTTTAAGTAAAACAAAACACTTTTTTTGTGATCTGAACAAAGATTGAACGGGGTCTATCAATTTCGGTTAGCATTTTTTCTTTCATTTATAAATTTTGAATTAAAAATTATTTCCATGCTTTAAAATAATTTGTAAGATTTTTTTTTTCTCTGCCCTCTTTTCTAAGAAGATGTGTTAGCATGTTAATTGAAGCGTTATAGCTTTATAATACTTTAATATATAATAATATTTTTGTTAGTTTATTTTACCTACTTACTCAGATTACTTATACTTTTGTATTAGAAATTACTGAGCTTAAATTTATTTATATTTCCATTATGTATAGTATGTTATGAAATAATTTTACTTATCATTTCAGATTTTAAAGATAATTATGGACTCTTAAATATTATTTACTCACCTTTTTTAGTTCTTCTACTCTTAATATATTTATGTTTCTAAATATTCCAATATCAAGTTTATAGCTGACAAACAGTAATTTTTTTTAACTTCTGAAAAATCTTGCATTTAGATATGATTCATCACAATGCAATTTTAAATTTTCTAGGTATTTTAATCATATTAACTTTATAATTTTTATCATTTTAGGTAGAGGAATATCGCATGAAATGTGCAAGATTAGAAGCTGCGTTAGCTGAGCAAGCTGCCAATGAATCCAATAGATCGGTAAAATTTAATTTTGTTTATTACAATATTTAATATTGATGATACAGATTTCTTTGAGACAATTTTATTAATTATTAAGTACTGCAGCTAAAGAGTTTTTTTTTTCTTTTTTGAAGTGAATATTTTTCTAAATGGTTACACATTGCCATTGAATTTAATTACAGTCAAATTCACTTACACTGAGCTCTTATTTAACGATAGCCGGGATTTGACGTACAAATTCTTGGTTGATACAATGTTAAATCAATAGGATCATAGCTAGCTTTAATTGAGTTAACTCCTGGTCTAGTGAACAATATTTTCTTAATTTTAAAAATTTACTTAATTCTACCTCTCCAGCGCAGCAAATTTCTTTTTTGGAAAAATTTGCAATTTACATTTTTTGGGTTTGAAAAATCCCTTTTTGATGACAAAAATGTTTTTTGGGCCATGAATCTTATCGGAAGAGAAACAATACTAAAAATAGACAATAAGACAGTTCAAAGCAAATTATGCAACTTCTTTTGTACTATGCAGAAATTAAAGAAAGGAAGTAAGCCCTATATTTATAATTTTTATAAGTGTGTATGATTTTTTATGAATATTTTTCATGAACCTGTTTTTACAAGCACTCGTTTGTAATCAGTAAATATTGCTGGTTGTGTCGCACTTGTTATAAGAGTGTTTGACTATAATTATCATATATTCATCATTTTTGAAATTAGGATACAAAATTATGAGTTTAGATTATTTCTTCAGATTAAAAATACCAAAGATATTATGAGTTCCTTGCTTATAGGAATCTCCCAGACACATGCAAAGCAAAACATACATTAAAAATGTTATACCATTACTTAAAACATTTTTTTTAACTAAAACTGCAAATTTAATCATATCTTTTTCTTTTTTTAAGAAAATCAAAATTGCACCTGTGTATAATTAGATAAGAAATATTTTTCTAATGTTTTAAATACATTCTGTAACCATTATTGATATCAAGAAACACTTTCCTGTGTAAAGTCTGATATGTTTTCTTTCAACTTAATACCTTCTATATAGCTTCTATATTCTTCATATTAAAATCTTTACTCATGGAGCTGGGGGAAAAAATTTGAATATTAATAATTTTGGAAAATTCTAAACAAATTTTTAATATGCAGAGACCACAATCCTTAGATGCAGTGTTCTTCCAAAGCGTTATTAGAAGAACTGCCTACCCTTTGATCCCAATAAATGCAACCCCCTTTCCCCTTTTTGTAAAAATAAGCCGCCATTCCTTAAAAACACTGCCAATTTGTTCATACTCCAGTTTTAATAAAAATTAATTAATTTTTAAAATAATAATACACAATTATCTGTGTTTATAAATTTAATTCTGATTGCTATTATAAGTATTTACTTTGTTAAGATTATTCTCAACTGATTGAATTCTTATAAGTTTCTCTTTATTCAAGGGTTACCCCCTTTAATAAAGAGAAACTTATAAAAATTGTATGATTTATATTGTATGATATTAAATTTTAAATATTTTTTTTTTAAATAACTACCTTTTTTTTAAAAAAAATGCACCTTTAAATATTTATTTTATAATAATTTCCAATATAAATTACAGAAAAAAATCTTTTAAGCTTTTTATCAAAAAATAATTTTTTTAGTTTACTTTTTTATTTTTTGAAGGAAAAAAAATTATGCATAGAGATTGTCTCTTAGTATGCCTTTAATTATTATTTATAAACTATGTATTTTTCTCTTATTTACATAATGAGTGAAATTTACTTTTTAAAATATACACATAAAATAGACGGTTCAGTTATTTCATGATATTACACATATTGATAAATTTTTACAGTGTTGAGTGAGTGCCTTTTCAAAACTGAAAGTGCCCTCTTCTGTGAGGAAGCACACTGCTTATTTTCATTCCTAAGGAGAACTCTGTTAGATGTTTTAAATATTATATGTTTAAAAATAATTTTTCATATTATGATGTTAAAAAATATTTTTATAAATTTGGACTTTTTTTTTAGGATTCTGGGTCTAATTCACCTAGCATTTTAATAATGGATCTTGATACAGCTTTAATAAGACTCGAGAAAGAAAGAAATAGGTATTTATTCCATGTTTAAAATATTATCAATCTAAATAGTTAAGTAAACTTCAGCAAGGCATAAACTTCATTTTAATACTCTTGGAATTTACAATAGAATCATGACTACTTTATTATATTTTAGTAAACAGTTGCATTTTAAAATTCAGAATTATCTTGATATTTAAAAACAATTCACATTTGACATTTCTCTGATTAATTTATTACCTATTTAAAGTATTTCTTTCTGTACCTTGTCAAAAGTACAGCATTTTTTAATTTTTAGCTTCTTATAATAAATATAGCTTATTATTTTTTGATAGCCAGTTGTATTTTAAAATGTGAAAATAGTAAATTTGGAATTATGTTGGTACTTAAAAATAATTCACATTTCTCTGATTAATTTCTTACTGTAAAANATCGTTGGAATTCGAACCCGGTTTGCCTCATTGGAAGGCGAACGCTCTATCCCCTAAATCCATCGCAGCTCAACATGATTAGTTTAAATTTGTGTGTCCACATAGCGTCGGAAACGCTAAAGCGTGTGATTTGTGAAAATGGGGGGACAAAAAAAAGAAAAATAAATGATTGCCCAAGTTCTTTGATTCGAAAATCATGTTATACGTCGCTTTATTATACTAATTGGTAATATAGGCACTTCGATTATATTGAAAAAATTCGCAGGATCAGAAAAACTATTGATTAATAGTCGCTAAAATAAAAATAAGGAGACCCAATTTTAATCTTGCTCTTATCTAATGTTAATACTTTCACGTACTTAAAATGCTTTCTAAATAGTTGGAAAGGAACTCCTTAACTTTGCTTATTAATTTAAGTTATGGAGTCGAACACAAAAACTTACTTTCCCTGAAGAAACTCAACCTTTTTTTTCCCACTGCACGCTTTACCCTCTAAATGTAGAGAGTCTTAATGGTATCCAGAATATATGGTTCCACTAATTTTACAAAGAAACGGTCAAAAGTTAAGATCTGTTTATGTTATTATTATATTTTGCATTTTTTGGGATGCCTCTGGGACTTATTGTATGAGTTGGAAAATTTTGAAACACAATAAAAATTTTTTACCCATAGATAATTTTACGCAAATTTTTTTTTAAAATTAATAATTGTATCATTTATATGTGGTTAAGGCACTGAACTGTCATTATGAAGAACTGGGATTCAATCCCCAGTGGTGGCTTGAGGTCCATCCAGCTTCAGTTTGATGAGTACCAACTTGTCTGTGAATGTGATGACCACCTTCCCTCAATCATACCATTGGTTACAAAATTGTGGAGCTTTAACCTCCATGATACCCTGGCCTGCTGCATAATGCTTTCTGCTGCATAAATGCTTTTTATTTGCAAATGATTGAAGAAAAAAAAAATGATTTAGGTATTAGGTTTGGTATAAGTTATTATAAAGTAAGCTAGTGTTTAAGAGAAATGAAACAAATTAAAGATATATTTGGTTTTGTTAATATTCCTTTTTTTTTTTTTTTTTCCTCGCTTATAAATTTCAATATTTTTAAGTATCCATTTTGAATTATTAAGATTGGAATTTAGTTCTTTCAGATAATTGGATTGATTTGTTTTTGTTTGAGACTGTCTCCTCTTTGTGTTTTTTTATTATTATTTTTAAGTAAAAAGCAAAAGAGTTTGTTCAGATAACAGAAAAGTGTTTTGTTTTAAAGACTGAATTTTCGATCTATCTATCAATTTTTATTAGAATTTTTTTTTTTCTTTCATTTATAAATTTTGAATTAAAAATTATTTACAGGCTTTAAAATAAGTTGTAAGCTTTTTTTTTCTATGCCTTCTATTCTAAGAAGGTGTGTTAGCATTTTAATTGAAGTGTTATAGCTTTATAATACTTTAATGTATAATAATAATATTTATGTTAGCTTATTTTACGTACTTACTCTGATTACTTATACTGTGTTGTATTAGAAATTAGTGAGCTTAAATTTATTTATATTTCATTATGTATAGTATGTTGTGATGTGAAATAATTTTACTTATCATTTCGGATTTTAAAGATAATTATGGGCTCTTAAATATTATTTACTCACCTTTTTTAGTTCTACTCTTAATATATTCATGTTTCTAAACGTTCCAATTTCAAGTTTATAGCTGTCAAACAGTAATTTTTTAACTTCTGAAAAATCTTGTATTTAGATATGATTCATCACAATGCAATTTAAAATTTTCTAGATATTTTAATCATATTAATTTTATAATTTTTATCATTTTAGGTAGAGGAATATCGCATGAAATGTGCAAGATTAGAAGCCGCATTAGCTGAGCAAGCTGCCAATGAATCCAATAGATCGGTAAAATTTAAGTTTGCCTATTACAATATTTAATATTGATAATACAGATTTATTTGGGACAATTTTATTAATTATTAAGTACTGCAGCTAAAAAGTTTTTTTTTTCTTTTTTGAAGTGAATATTTTTTTAAATGGTTACACATTGCCATTGAATTTAATTACAGTCAAATTCACTCACATTGAGCTGTTATTTAACGAGAGCCGGTTTTTGACGTACGAATTCTTGGTTGGTGCAATGTTAAGTCTATAGGATCATAGCTGGCTTTAATTGAGCTAACTCCTGTTTTAGTGATCAATATTTTCTTAATTTTAAAAATTTACTTAATTCTACCTCTCAAGAACAGAAAATTTCTTTTTTGGAAAAATTCGCAATTTATATTTTTTGGAATATTTATATTTGAAGAAACCCTTTTTGATGACAAAAATGTTTTTCGGGACATGCATCTTATTGGAAGAGAAACAATACTAAAAATTGACAATAAGACAGTTCAAAGCAAATTATGCAACTTCTTTGGTACTGTGCAGAAATTTAAAAAAAATAAAGTAAGCACTATATTTATAATTTTATAAGTATGTATGATTTTTTATGAATATTTTTCATGAACCCGTTTTTAGAAACACTCATTTGTGATCAGTAAATATTGCTGGCTATGTCGCGCTTGTTATAAGAGTGTTTGACTATAATTATCATTTATTCATAATTTTTGAAATTATGATACAAAATTATGAGTTTAAATTATTTCTTCAGATTAAAATTTAAAAAGACTAAAGATAATACGTGTTCCTTGCTTAGGAATCTCCCAGATTCATGTGAAACAAAACATACATTTAAAATGTTATATCATCACTTGAAAAAAAAATTTTGTACTAAAAATGCAAATTTAAACATGTCTTTTTCTTTTTTTAAAAAAATCAAAATTGCATCTGTGTATAATTAGATAAGAAGTTTTTTTCTGACGTTTTAAATACATTCTGTAGGCATTATTGATATCTAAAAACTCTTTCCTGTGTAAAGTCTGACATGTTTTCTTTCAACTTAATAATAGCTTATATATTCTTCATAATATTAAAATCTTCATAAAATTAATAATTTACTCATGGTTTATTTGCTATGAAAAAAAATTGAATATTAATAATTTTTGAAAATTCTAAACAAATTTTTAATATGCAGAGACCACAATCCTTAGATACAGTGTTCTCCTAAGCGTTTTTAGAAGAACGGCCTACCATTTGATCCCAATAAATGCGCCCGCTTTGCCCTTTTTGAAAAAATAAGCTGCCATTCCTTAAAAACACTGCCTATTTGTTCATATTCCAGTTTTAATAAAAATTCATTAATTTTTAAAATAATAATAACAACACACAATTATCTGTGTTTATAAATTTAATTCTGATTACTATTATAAATATTTACTTTGTTAGGATTATTCTCAACAGATTGAATTTTTATAAGTTTCTCTTTATTCAAGGGATACCCCCTTGAATAAAGAGAAACTTATAAAAATTGTATGATTTATATTGTATGATATTAAATTTTAAAATTTTTTTTAAATAACTACCTTTTTTTTAAAAAAAAAAATGCACCTTTAAATATTTATTTTATAATAATTTCCAATATAAATTACAGAAAAAAATCTTTTAAGCTTTTTATCAAAAAATAATTTTTTTAGTTTACTTTTTTATTTTTTGAAGGAAAAAAAATTATGCATAGAGATTGTCTCTTAGTATGCCTTTAATTATTATTTATAAACTATGTATTTTTCTCTTATTTACATAATGAGTGAAATTTACTTTTTAAAATGTACACATAAAATAGACGGTTCAGTTATTTCATGATATTACACATATTGATAAATTTTTACAGTGTTGAGTGAGTGCCTTTTCAAAACTGAAAGTGCCCCCTCTTCTGTGAGGAAGCACACTGCTCATTTTCATTCCTAAGGAGAACTCTGTTAGATGTTTTAAATATTATATGTTTAAAAATAATTTTTCATATTATGATGTTAAAAAATATTTTTATAAATTTGGACTTTTTTTTTAGGATTCTGGGTCTAATTCACCTAGCATTTTAATAATGGATCTTGATACAGCTTTAATAAGACTCGAGAAAGAAAGAAATAGGTATTTATTCCATGTTTAAAATATTATCAATCTAAATAGTTAAGTAAACTTCAGCAAGGCATAAACTTCATTTTAATACTCTTGGAATTTACAATAGAATCATGACTACTTTATTATATTTTAGTAAACAGTTGCATTTTAAAATTCAGAATTATCTTGATATTTAAAAACAATTCACATTTGACATTTCTCTGATTAATTTATTACCTATTTAAAGTATTTCTTTCTGTACCTTGTCAAAAGTACAGCATTTTTTAATTTTTAGCTTCTTATAATAAATATAGCTTATTATTTTTTGATAGCCAGTTGTATTTTAAAATGTGAAAATAGTAAATTTGGAATTATGTTGGTACTTAAAAATAATTCACATTTCTCTGATTAATTTCTTACTATTAAAAAAATATTTGACCTTGTACCTATTCCCATACAGTTGGAAATATAACATTTTAAAATGACTGTTTGTTTAAAAGTAAAGCGTGTTATTAATAAAATATTATAATTTAGTTTATGCATGAACCATCTGTTAAATAAATGGGGGGAAAGAAAGAAAATTATCGAGCCAGTTAAATGCCTAATTATTTGGTCATGCTGATTATTTGATTAGAGGGACCAAATCCTGATTGTGACCTGAATATTCGATGCAGTCATACGCACAACATTGTTTGACAGTTAGTATTATTTGTTAAGTTTCGATGAAGTTTATTTCTGTCAAAATAAACTTTAGTGTTTGTGCAGGTGTGAAGGCCTTACACAAATCAACACTCTACTCCGAGAACAGTTAGAGACTGCTACTGAAGTAAACCAAACACTCACTTCTGATGTTCAAAGGCTCACCCAAGAATGGATGAATGAGCGCTCAGAGTTTCTTGCCAAAGAAACAGAATGGAAAGATGAGGAACATGTAAGTATGCAGAAATTATGTCTGTTAACTCCTTTATTGCTATTAATCTCTCAACCTAAAAGAACTAATACATATCATTAATAAAGTATTATAATCATTAGTACTCATGGTGCATATCGTTTTTAAAAAGTGCTTAAAGGTGCTTTTTTCATTGGGTGTTTTTAAAAAGTGCTTAATTTTCTTTTTTCAAAAATCTCATTTTCGAAAAGGAAATGTCAATTTTCGCCATTGTATTATGTAAAAGTATGCTTTTTACATTGTTCTATTCAGCGTTTTCACACTTCATTCAACCACAATCTATTTCAGCATACCTTCGGTCGTTAGTATATATGTTTGATGAAATATTTGTGAGTCCGCATGTGCGTCTACTGAGCTGATTTCGTTGAGATTATTGCACTCTCATGTGCAACTCTGCTGCATCTTGCTAGATATTCACAATTTCAGACTTCATTTTCCGCCCTCTGATATTGAACCAAAAATCAAGAAAAGAGTTCTTTGTCAGAAACTAGTTACTTTTTCATGATCATGTGAAGTCTTTGAAAATTATTTTGCATATTGTAATAATTTTTAGTGCTTAAAAAGTATTAAAATGTGCTTGTTTTTTGTTGAAAGATTTGGCTATGCATCCTGATACTGTGAGTTTTAGTGCTCTTCTTGAAATCGCAGTATCGATACAGTATACTCACGATATTTTGAACTTCTATCTATCGAATACCTTGTTATGTTGAATATCTTTTGAAATAGAAAACGGGTTTTTTCGGAAAAATCACAATGTAAGTTTATTGTAAACCAATTATTTTCTATTTAATGCATTATTATTTTTGTCTTACTTTTAAAAATAAAATTATCATTACTGTATTTTGACTTATTGTCAATTATCATTACATACATATTTATTAGTAGTTATTTTTATGTTTCATGTCTCTACTTTTTAGAGTACTATCTTAGAATATATTTTTCTACTTTTTCGAACATATTTAGTTCCGAACATTCTCGAAAGCTCACTATCGTGAAATTTGTTTAGCGTCTTCAACTTTGAGATACCAAGAGTATACTGTACATGAAAAAGAGTTTACCACCTGAGGGAAACTATGTTGTAATAATTCACAATATCGAGAATTTAGAGCTGGTTAACGTTTTAAAAACTTGTTGGGTGATTGGTTTATATCACACTTTTTATATTATTACTATTTCAAATTGAATTTTTCAAATATATTTTAATTTGTCTTAAGTTATTTGAATATTAAAATTAAGAATTAAATTAAAAATGAATTAATAAAATTAAAAAACATTTTATTCCAATCACCAGAAATAAACTTTTAATCAATGTAAAATGTATTTAAAACGTCTGTCTTTTTTTCCCTCAATGTAATGCATCTTTATGCACCTGGCAGTCATCATAAATCTTTTTTAAACTAATTGAAAAACAATATGAGTAAGTGTTACAGATAGATTGTTTTGTTTCCCTTCTTTTTATTTATTTTACTTTGAAAGCAATTATAATGAACATAGTTTCTGTATAACCAAATACCGATTTCCTAAATCATGTTTTCAGTATAATTCCCCTAGCAAACTTTTTTGAAAGAGTTTATTTATTTTTAAATTTTAATATTGTTGTTGATGATTGTATAGGATTATAAATAAGTTTTTTGGTAACCTTTCAGACTTTTAGCATTTATTTCACCCGAGAAAGTAACATGGTCTTATCTATGTGGCGTCAGCTTCTCAACTTCAAGCATGAATTTAATAATCTGAAAAATCTCACTGAGAGAGAACTTTCTGCTTTCAAAGTCTGCATTTGCGATGATATACAAAAAGTGACAGATATTGAAGCTACTGCTAAAATTCAAATGCAAAATGTGAGTTTCATTAATGTCTTTGTTTTTGTTAAAAAAAATTTCTTATTTTTGTTAGTAATGTACTTAACTTTGTGTATTATGTAAATATTTTTACTTCTAAAACTTTTTTTAAGCATCATGTGTAAAAAATATTTACGTTATGCACAATAAAATAATGCAAATATGTTGCAATTTTTAATGTTTGCATGTACAGTAAGACTTTCCACTTTTTATTTGGTGTAGTGAACCATATTCAAATTTTGTTTGTTTGCCGATTCATATATTTTCAGTTTGTTAGTTAACCCATTATGTTTAAGTTTGAGAAATGTGTTACAAATCCCTACTATAGATTTTTTTGTATAAAACGTCAGGTTAATACTCATGCTTGCCTAAAAAAATGCTATATTCTGATTTTAAGGCACTATAATTGACAACTTATATGTAACTATGTCTTATTAACTTTAAACAACTTACACATAATGAAAAAGCAATTTTGGGTATGTAAACACACTGTTCAATATCCAATGTTTATTTAGATTAGCACGAAAGGGCTCGTAAAAGTATGGTCTATTGAATCACGACGAAATTTTAATAAAAGCAATGACACATTTTCGTGTTACTGGGATTTTATTAGCAAAACAACATGAGTTATTAAATTAAAATAAGGAAATTTTTAATCAAACTTATATCTGGTAAACTTATAACCTATATTATGTTGTACATTTTTAATTTATTATTCAAATTTTTTTTTTTTTACCTTCTCAATCTGTGTCTTTAAAAATATCTTATAAAAGAGCAATATTATTTATCCGTCTGAGATAAAATGTTTTATGTGTGTGCGTGTGTCTGTATATATATATATATATATTACTTATTATTTCCCACCCCCTTTTTTTCATATGTCTATAATTTTTCTTTGTTTTATTCTGCATTTTGAACTTATCTAATGAGTGCTGTTTACTTGCAGCTTAAGCGCAATAAATGATACTTATTGTTTTTCTTAACTTTCTTAGTGTTTTCTTGTATTTATTTATTT